AATAATTAATTAATATGATTAAAAATCAGTTAACAGAATTATTTTATTAACTCTTAATTTTATTAGTTAAAAATAAATTTTTATCAATTAATAATCAAATAATAATCAATCAATAAAATTAATAGTTAATTAACAGAATTAATAATTAATTAACAGAATTAATAAAAAATTATAATGAGGGCTATTTTCTTTGAGAGATTAAAAATATTATAATATAAGGTAAAAAATTAAAATTTATAAATCTAATAAGATAAAGAGTTAAAATTAAGATCCATTGAAATTCCTTATGAAATATTAAGTAGAATTAAATTCAAATTGTAATTTAAATTTGATTTAATTTAATTATATTAAAAATTAATTATATATGAAATATTAAAAGTTTTAATTTAAATTTAATTTAAATTTTATATTAAACTTAAGGATTAAATAAAACTCATAAATCAAATTCAAATTTAAATTATTTGAATTGAGTTGAGTTAGTATTATACATAATATTAACTCAAACTTGAGTTATAAGAAACTTTATTTTATTTTTTTATAACCCTAAATATAATACCTATATGCTTAAAAGTTTTAATTTAATTTAATTTGTAAATTATAAATTACTTACAAAGCCAACATGCATCTATGATACATGATAAAATTAATATAATACTCATGTAAATAATAAATTTTATGTTTAAATAGAGAGAGAATACGATAAGTTAAAAATTTAAAAGAATTACCTCTTACAATTTAATTCAAAATTTAAAAGATAAAAATCTAGTTGTAGTTAATGAAGGCGATTTTCCTAGTACTAGTAGGGCAGCCACGATGATGGATACGAGAAATCAGTTTCAAGTGAGCACAGAACTCTTCCACAGCGGCTCAATTACCGCGCGCTTCATTTGAAAGTAGAATGTTAATTGGATTTGAGAATCAAATTTTTAATTATTAATGATTAATTATAATTAATTTTTTAATTATTTTTCTTATAAAAAAAAAAAGAAGAAAGTTTCAAGTGAGCACGACGGTGAACACAGACACAGTAGGCTGTTCGAAAAATTTTGTACCAAAAAAAAAAAAAGACCAAAGCAAAAATTCACGTCCCAATAAAATATCAATACAATGCGTGGTTGGCAAACGGCAATTATTATACCAGAAATTAGACATCCTAGAATATATTATTTTTTATATAGATATAATTTGAAGGTAAGAAATATAGAATTGTAATATGATATCATTTTAATTAAAATTTTAATTATTATTAAAATATTAAATATATTTATTAAAACATTAAATATATTTTAAAACATTAAATGTAGGTAGAATACTCAAATCCAATATCAAAATATAGTGACAGAGATAAATCCACTTTTAAACAAAAAATAAAGATAAATTCACTTATAAAATTTTTAATTTAGATAAATTATTTAAAATTTAACATGTGACATCATCTAATATTAGTAATATATTAATTTAACGTCATCTGATATCAGCAATTCACTAATAAATTAACGAATTGCTGATATTAAATGATATAACACGTTAAATTTAAGGTGATTTATTTAAATAAAAAATTTTATGAATAAATTTATCTCTATTTTTTATTCGAAAATAAATCTATCCCTACCATTATATTTTAGAAGTGAATTTAAATATTTTATCTTAAATATATTTACTAAGTGACTCATAAATTATGATGCGAATCATATAACACTTTAAATCTTAAAAGCTAGTAGATTATTGCAGCCATCAGATTTATATTTTCCATAGCTCTTGTCCCAATAATATCTCTAACAAAGCACCTGGCTCTTGTGATCTAGTGACATTAGTCACCAATGCATTCCCTTCTCTCTCTCGGTTAGGGTTTGAAATCCACCCTGTCAAAATATGTTAAAAAAAAAAATCTCTAACAAAAGTGAAGCTTCGACATGTATAATCTCGTTTCCCTTCGGCTTATTGCCACACAGATAAGTTTGAAGACCACACAACAATAATGAAATTGTATTTTTTAAAATTGTTAGGAATAATTAATAATTATAAATATTAATTGATGCAAATTGCACAACCTTGAAAACCTCTTCAAATTTGTCTATGTCTAGAAATGTCGACTCCCCCTGCCCGAGGACAATTATCACGGTCGGTGACAGCTTCAACTTCAATTATACTTTTCTTTAGCACGTGACTGAACTACATTTTATTTTCTTCTCTCCATCTAAGGTAAATTGTTTTCCTTGGTCCTTAATTTTTGACTCAAAGTATAAGTTGGTCCTCAATCTTCACTTTGTTAGTTTTTCAGATCCTGAAATTCTTCTAGTAGTCATTACGAGTGCAAAGTAAGCGTCATTAGGGTTGTAAATGAGTTAAATTACCCAACTTAAGCTTAAGTTAGCCTTAACTTTACTTAACTTCAAGTTTGAGTTGAAAACTTAGCACAAAAAATCAACTAGAGTTGAATTCAAGTTATAATTTAAACTCGGCTCAATTTAATTGTATTAAAAGCTAATTATATATATGAAGCATTTAAAATTTTAATTTTAACATAATCTAAATCTTAAATTAAACTTGATTTCTCCATAAAGTTTGCAAGTCAAGTTTAAATTCAAGTTATTTGATCTTGATAAAAAATTGAATCAAATTGACTTCTTATTGTAGCATCAACTTAAATTCAAATTTTAAAAAATTTGACTCTACTTATTAACAAATCAAGTGTAATACTCACAAGATTAAAAATATTAATTTAATAAAGTTTGTTTGTAACTAAGATATTAATATAATATCCACATGAATAATATATTCTATATTTGAACGCAATAACATGATGATGTGATAAAATTAAAAAAAAATTAAAGAATCATATCTCATTAGACAATTTAAAATAAAAAAAATTCTAATTCTAGTTAATGGAGGAGATTTTACTTGTAGGGCAGTACCAATTATGAATAAGAAAGAATCAATTTTAACCATGCACGATAGTGAACACATAATGATGTTTATGCAGCTCGAAAGTCTCATAAAGCTTTAGTTGTCTTTTGCAGATTGTTGATGCGGAGGCTCGATCTAGTGATTGTCCAGCATGTCCCTAGAAAAGCAAATGGAGTGGCCGGTGATACATTTACTAAGCATGGTGTTTTTATGGAAGACTCTTGTTTCTTTTGATTCAGTTTCTTTGTTTTGTTCATCTTGTTTTCCCATTATCATAATGGTTGGATTGTGTATTAGATTGTATTTTGTAAAACTTAATTAGTTAATGAAGTTCCCATTTGCACATAAAAAAAAAAGACAGTGAAAACAGAAGGATGTCCGAAGGAAAACAAATTAATGCAATAAAAAATAATGAACAAAAAGCAAAACATTTATGTACCAAACAAGCAAAAGGAAAACATTCACATGCAGCTGAAATATCGATATATTATGTGGTTGGCAAATGACAATTATTAAAACAGAAATTGTTGGAATGTAAATATTTTAATAAAAAAATAAAAAAATATATTTTATAAATTGAATTTATTATCCTATTAAGAATTTGGTCAAATTAGTCGTTTTAAGTTAATTATCCTATTTAAGGATATATTATTTCATAATAATTGTCTAATCTATTACTATTATCAACTTATAAATAAGAGTTACATGATCATGAGTCCTATAAATAGAATATGTTTATTTGCTCAAAAATACTATGTGTTTTCCTCCACATTCTCTTATTTTCCTTATCTTAGTTTATCTTATAAATATTCTTGAGCAAAGAAGGATGTTTTGAATTAGGTGACTCTATGGGTAGTACAGATTCATAGAGTGTTATTATAAAACTGTAGCATCTTAGAAGCAATATGCTATATATATCTTTGCTTCACTGGTTGATTTACTCTCTATAGAGGTGTTAATCGCCTTAAAGTAAATAAGTTTTTTTATGTTTATTTTGATGATATTTTCTTATCGATATTTTTTAATAAATTCACTAATTATTATTTTATTTGATCTTGTGACTGAGACGCAATAATAACATGATGTGGAGATTAGTGGCAGAGCCAGGAATTTTAGTCAAGGGGGTCAGCTTTTCAATTTTTAAAATAATGCATTGTAATTTTGAAACTTACTTTTATATCATAAATTAAAATAATATTTGATGAGTTTTCATGTCATGAAATCTATCTATAATAGAGTTTACACTAAATGACTAAATTATCTCCTTTTCAATATGAACAATCAAAGAGTTTGAAAGAAATTCATTCTTCATGTTGCTGTGAAGTCTCGTTTTTACAATTTTTATGATAAAAATTGATGTTTCTGTTGTTGCTGTAGAAACTAGAAGAGTAAATACGAAAGTAATTAATTTATAAATGAGACTATAGTTCTCTAATTTTCTTGTCTCCACAAGCCATTGACATAGTTTAGAAATATTTAACAAATTCTGAAAACCCTGATCACAATTTGAAACTTATATGGAGGTAGCAATTAACAACATAAAACCTTTAAGCACTTAATTGGTTATCAAGATTCCTAAAATAGTATATCAGTATCTAGTAGTGGTGCACTTAATTATCTGAGTTATCAGTTATCTCTGATTCTCTAGTAGAAGAGATTCTCCACCTCCACAGGTGAGGTTGGCAAATATGAAATACGACAACATCCTATCTTTTCACCCTACCACTTTCTACAATCAAACAATTTTTTCCCCCTTTTTACAAGCTAATTACATTTTATACTATGAAGGAAGAATCACAGCAAAGGATGAGTAAGGAAACAATCACAGCAGATAAGGAAATCACGTCAAAGTAGGAAACCATATCAAAGCAATCAAAGACTGATCTAAGGAGCAATAGTTGCAACAGTCAGAATGTATAGCAACGATAGTATGCTCAATACTAGACACTAATTTAGGATCTAAACAATTACATGTAAATATATATATATATATACACACACATCAAATCATTGTACAGGGTTATTCAAGGAAGAATACAATCAATTTCTTCTAATTCTTTTTGCTTTCTGGTATCAAAGCAGGTTACTTACATCTGAATACTTAAATCCATTTTTCTTCACAAATAGCCTCCATTACATCACAAATCAAATTTAACAAAATCAGACTGATGGCTAGAAACAAGAATAAGCTTACTATCCAAAGCTTCCACCAGATGGCAAGCTTGGTTTCAATAAAGTTGTCAAGCTCAAACTTTCTTCTGTGGAAATCACAGGTTTATCCATTGATTCGAAGTGCTCAAATTATGAATCACCTTGAGGAGGAAGTGGCACCAACAATGACATTGATCAAAGATGAAAAAGAAGTGCTCAATCCAGAGTATGAAGTCTGGCTAAATAATGATGGGCAGCTTACAAGTTGGCTACTTGAAACTATGAATGAAGAAGCATTAAATCTTGTTGTTGGCTATGACTTAGCTTTTCAAATTTGGAAAAGCTTAGAGGATCATTACCTAGCTTGAACAAAGGAGCAAGAAATGCATCTCAAAGGACAGTTGGCGGTTAAACGAGGAGATGGTGAACCTCTTGAAGAGTTCATCAGAAAATTTGAAAGAACTTGTGATAACTTGGTTGCCATTCGAAAGCCTCTAGAAGACTTAGACAAGGTGTTTCAACTTTCCAAGGTTGTTGGAGCATGATTCCAACCTTATAATCTTGCTGTTCTATCAAAAGCTCCATATCCTACTTTTACTCAATACATTGTAAGTTTACAAAATAATGAAAGAGACTTGCAGAATGTAGAACAAGAAACAAGGACAAAATTCTAGTTTATGCTCAAGCCTTTGTTGCACATAGGGGGAGAGGACATCAATGTGGCAGAGGTTATGGTGGTGGCAGAAACTTCAATTCTAGAGGTAGAGGCTTTGTTCAAGTTGGGAATTACCATAATAATTGGACGAGAAATAACAACAACAACAAAAGCTCAATGGTTAACAATAATCCTCCACCACAGTAACCCATGTCACATAAATCTCAAGAGAAGAATGTAAGACAACAAGATGAGAATAGTTGTCGAATCTGTGGCATTGTAGGACACACTACTTTGAAATGCTGGTACAGATTTGATCATGCATATCAAAGTGAAGAGTTGCCTCAAGCCCTTACAACTTTGAGCCTATTAAAAGACAAAGATCGGAATATCTATGTTGACAGTGGGGCTAGTGACCATATGATCTCAAATTCAGCTAAACTCTATACTAAGAGACCATATTATGGAAAACAAAAAGTTTTTATAGGTGATGGCACTCTTTTGCAAATTTCTCATGTTGGATCTACTACTATTGGCTCTTTAACACTTAATGTTGTGTTAGTAGTTCCTGAACTTAAGAAAAATCTCCTCTCCATTAGTAAATTTATTGATGAAAATCCATGTGTTTTTGAATTCTCATCTAATGGTTTTGTGATTAAGAACCAAGTAACAAAAGTGATTTTGGCAAGAGGAACTAGGAAAGGTCAATTGTACGCACTGGATGAAGGAGAAAAACTTGCTTTATCTGTTATTTCAAATAAAGCTACTGATTCCATTTGGCACTAGAGGCTGGGACATCTAAATTCTAGCATTCTAAAAACTCTAGCTTCAAAGAATAATATTTATGTATCTAATTGGACTAAGCACCCTCTTTTATGCACCAGTTGTCAAATGGGGAAGAGTTGTAAGCTTCCTTTTTCTAGAAATAATGAAAGAATAGATTTTCCTCTTCAAAAAATACATTTTGACTTGTGGGGGCCTTCCCTAGTTTAATCACCTAACCACTTTACCTGTTATGTGATTTTTGTTGATGATTTTAGCATGTACATATGGTTTTATCCAATGATTAAGAAATTTGACTTCTTTGGTATTTTCCTAAAATTTTAGAAGCTGGTAGAAAACCAGTTTAACCAAAAAATCAAAATTTTCCAGTGTGATGGTGGTGGAGAATTCTCTAGCATGGCTTTCACTAATCACCTAGCAGAATGTAGCATTAAGCAACAAGTGTCCTACCCCGGTACTCCAGAACAGAATGGAGTTGCTAAAAGGAAGCATAAAAACATTGTTGAGACAAGTTTGACTATGTTACTCCATGCTAACATGCCATCACGCTACTGGGTTGGTAGCTTTTCTACTGTTGTTTTCCTTATTAATAGAATGCCTACTCCTGTATTACACAATAAGACTCCATATTATTTACTTTATGGCAAAGCTCTTGACTATTCTATGATTAAAGTCTTTGGGTGCCGCTGCTTTCCTTATTTGAGAGATTATGCTTCTAATAAACTCCAACCCAAGTCTTTACCATGTGTCTTGATTGGGTATAGTCTTATACACAAGGGTTATAAGTGCTTACATCCTTCGACCCAACGTATTTATATTTCAAGACGTGTTGTTTTTGATGAATATTCTATGCCATATATTAATCTAACAAAACTTTCAAGTATTCTTAGTACAGATGGGGAACTTTGCACATCTCCTGATAATGATGAGTGGTGCCAATCTAAATCAAACCTATAGCCATTGAAGCATTTGGATAAGCAACCATCTACATCTCAGATGCCTTCTCTATTGACTATCATCACTAATGAGGGGGAAAACACTGATTGCAACAAAGACTCAACAAGAACTGAACTTGAGATGGCAACAGGAATACCAAATTCATGTCAAGAAGAAATTAATACTTCTTCTAAAGAAGATGGTGTTCAATTCCATGGTGCTATAACAGAATCAGATTCCTCTCAATCACTTATTGGATCACCTAATTCAGATCACCTTATAACATCAAATGGAAATCAATCAACTGGAGCATCTGAAATACTTATGTGAAGCACAACATGTAGAGGAGTTTCACCACCAATACATAATGCTAATTCAGTATCTAATCACCTTACGATGACTAGGACTTGATCAGGGACTCATATAGGACATGTTCGAACTAAATTTACCAAGCATGCACAGACTATGACGACTAATGACTCATCTTTGAATCTTGTAGGTCTAGAAACTCAAGAACCTAAATCTGTCCAATAGGCATTACAACTTCCACATTGGGTTAAGGCAATGCAAGAAGAATTGGATACTCTTCAAAAGAACGAAACATGGAAGTTAGTGCCACCACCTTTATCCTCAACAAACATTGTTGGCTTCAGATGGGTATTCAAAACTAAGCTTCATCCAGATGGAAGTATAGAAAGATTCAAGGCATGCCTTGAAGCCAAAGGCTTTTCTCAAATACCAAGGGTTGATTTCAATGAAACATTTAGTCCTGTCCTCAAACCAACAACATTACGCTTGGTCATTGCTTTAGCCACAAATCTGAATTGGCCTCTTAGACAATTGGATGTGAAGAATGCCTTTCTTCATGGAAAACTCAAGGAGACAGTATACATGACTCAACTACCAGGTTTTGAAGACCCAAAATATCCTAACCATGTGTGTAAACTCAATAAATCCATCTATGGTCTCAAACAAGCTCGAAGGCATGGTTTGATAAATTTACATTGCATTTTTTGAAGATGGGATTTAGCTGCAGCCGAGCTTATTCTTCTTTGTTTGTGTTCCATAACAATCAAGGTACTGTGTTACTCCAGCTATATGTTGATGACATTGTTCTCACTGCCAGCTCAAAACTTCTGTTACAGAGTATTATTAACCATCTTAGTAGGGAGTTTGCACTTAAGGACCTTGGGCAACTTAGCTACTTTCTGGGTATGGAAGTCACATCCTTTGATGGAGGTACTTTCCTTTCATAAGCAAAATACGCCACCGACCTTCTTACTCGAACCTCTATGTTAGAAGCATCAACAATTGCGACACCTCTGGCCATTAAAGAAACTACTACCTTGAGAGACATGGAACCTGTGAATGCCAATGAATATAGAAAAATCATGAGAGCTCTTCAATATCTAACAATTACTAGAATTGATATTTGCCATGCTGTCAATAAAGTGTGCCAGTTTATGTAAAATCCTACTCTTGCTCATCTTCGACAAGTTAAGCGTATTTTGAGATATATCAAAGGTACTCAGCACTATGAGCTTCCATTTTACTCCTACAAAACTTTATCTTTGACAAGATTTTACGATGCCGACTGGGCAGCCTGTGTAACTACAAGAAGAAGTACTACAGGGTACTATATTTTTCTTGGAGCAAATTGTATGTCCTGGTCCTCAAAGAAGCAACCCACTGTGGCGAGATCTACTGCTGAAGCAAAGTACCATGCATTGGCCTTTGCTACTGCTAAAATAGTATGGATCACATATATTCTTCGTGACATTGGAATTTCTTTACCATCACCTCCTCAACTATTCTCTAATAATATTAGTGCTCTTCATATGTTTATCAATCCTGTATTCCATGCTTGAACAAAACACATTGAATTAGATTACCATTTTGTTTGAGACAAAGTGGCCATTGGTACTCTAGTGACTAGGTACATTCCTAGCATTGAACAGCTTGCTAATGTGCTTACAAAACCCCTACCTTGCTCACAATATCAATTGTTAAGATTCAAACAGGGTGTGGTTGCTTCACCCCACTATAGTTTGAAGGGGAGTATGAAGGCAGAATCACAACAGAGGATGAGTAAGGAAACAATCACAGCAGATAAGGAAATCACGTCAAAGCAGGAAACCATATCAAAGCAATCAAAGACTGATCCAAGGAGCAATAGTTGCAACAGTCAGAATGTATAGCAATGGTAGTATGCTCAATACTAGACACTAATTTAGGATCTAAACAATTACATGTAAATATGTATATATACATCAAATCATTGTACAAGGTTATTTAACAAAGCATACAATCAATTTCTTCTAATTCTTTCTACTTTCATATACTAGTTTATCTTCCTTTTATACTAATTTATCTTTTTATTGCTTTTCTCTATATGACTATATCCAAGGTTTTCCTTTTATTGGGTTCTTATATGTTCCCTTTATGGATTTATACTTTCTTTTCTTTTCTTTTTTTCAATTTTTTTTTTACTCTAAGCCAATTTTATTCCGTATAACTTCAATATAACTTCAATATTATCTTAATATTCAAGTTTATTTGTAATCTCAACAACTTTAAATCCTAAAAGGAAATTATACAATTCTTTGTGATAATAAAAAATCAATGAGTTTCATTACTTAAATATTACTCCCTCCATACTAGAATAATAGATTTTTTGTTTTATCTTCAAATGAAGGATTTGAAAACAATTTCTATCTTTACCTATTTTATACTTAAAAAATAACTAAAAATAAATATCTACTTCAGTTAGAGGATGAATAATTAAAGTTAAAAGATAATTATAGGGTTAAAGTAGAAAAAAACTATTTATCTTCCTTAAAATTAAAATAAAAAAATAACTATTATTTGGGGTTAAATTCTAAATAAAAAAATATCAATTTTTCTGGGACAAAAAGAGTATACTAACAAGTATAAGACAAATTTTAAAATAAAATAAAATAAGCTTACAAAACTTGCAAATTGAAATTTAATATGTCAATATATGATTCATATAAAAAAGTATAGTGTTGTTTTTAGTTTTTTTTTTTTTTTTGTTTTAGTCTTTACCAAGTAGTTAGTGATCCCTTTGTCTTCAAGCTTTCAATGACAAGAGTAGGGTGCAATTGCTTACATTGGGTTGTTGGCGAAGTCTCTTTTTTCTATTTTTTCTATTTTTGAAGTTATTAGGTTGAAGTTGATTGGTTGAAACAGATTGGCATTGGGACAATGGGGTTGGATACTAGAGAAATGACATAGAAGACACAAGAACTTGTTTTTCTTCTTCTTTTTCTTTTTTTTCTTTTTTTTTACAAAATTCAGTTGTGGACCTTAAGATGTGTGAGTTTTAAATAATAATAAATAGTTAAATCGTTAAAATGATAATAAATTATATAGATTATATTTGAGCTCCTAAAACAGCCCATTATTATTGGCTCTTTTTTATTTTATGTATTTTAATAATTAAAAATATAATATTTAAAATTTTAATAATAATAATAATAATAATAATTAATTATATATATATTTCAATATTTAAGGGGGCCACTATCCCCTAGTCTACATGTGGCTCCGCCCCCGGTAAAGATAGAGGAGAGTGTTTGAGGAACAACAAAAATTACACAAATCAAAGAACATTTTGATCATGAAAGCTAGTAGATTATTTCAGCCATTAGATATATATTTTTCATTGCCCAATAATATCTCTAGCAAAAGGGGAGCATCAATAATATAGTTGTACACACACTCACTTCCACTCCAGACAATGCTTTTATTTTCCATTCGAACTTTTAGGTACTTTTTTTTTTTTTTTGAACAAACACAAATTTCAAG